GGTTGCAGATATGGTCACAGTTGAACTGTGTGACGTACGCTAATGGTCTCGCAAATATTCATACCCTGTCACAAGAAAGGACTATCGGACTCAAATATAATTCAGTCTGATACCGCAACAAATGCAGTAAAGTCGACGATGATCTGTGACTGCAGCTACTCAGGATATAAACTAGTGGGACCTTATTTGAATTTGGCTTCCAGTTTGGGCAAGTGCTGCAATAAGGTGGCACTCAACATTATGGTGGTTTGTTTGAAGAACCATAAACCGAGCATCATAGGTATGTACCAATAATGACATATGGCACGAGATTATTTGTGTGCGTGTGTGTGGCTACAGGTGCAGTCAGAACCTTAGTCGACTTTGTTGTGCATCAGGTGTTGTGTGAAAAAACCACCAAATTAAGCACTGACACAAACTTTGGTCTGCCAAATGGTGATAAACTAGACATGAGAGGAGACGTATATTTCCAACTTTGTCCTGGAAATGTTGCACGACAAATAAAGATAGTGTTTAGGCATTGGTATCTTAGGGATGGACCTACTGTAGAAATTTTCAGCTAGTTATGCTTGTTCAACAGGTGAACTGCAGTCCTATGGCAAAAACCATTCAGGGCTATCCATATTGGGTCTGAGAACAGTGGACTGCATGTTGAAGAGGAGGTAATCAACTAGTCATGCTTTCAAATGTGCACATGGTTTTTGGGGTGTACTATAAATGCAATCTACTGCATTGTTATTGTCTGCTGGGGCGAACAGGACTAACATATGAAGCACTATCTGAAAAGGAGATTGCACTTGATCAAATAATAATCTATTTTAGTGTAAGTGTTGTATTAGTCATGGTCTGTAACTACAGACATTTTGGCTATTCAGCTCCCCACTGTAATATTCATTAACATGGTAAGAGAGGCAAAGTGATGCAAGCAAGCCATTTAGCTAGTGTTAGAGACATTGTACCTCATACAAAAATGAATGTGAAACTTTCAAAGCATCTGGAATCTCTCGAGGATTGTGTTAACAACCTGAACTCAACACAAATTTCTGAATTTAGTGAATTACTCAAAAATGTCACCCCTTTTTTTTTGCTCGTGTTCATTTTAATATCACGCATAGCTACCTTTCAGTGTATCTCAGTGGCACATATTTTCTAAGATTGTGTATATTTTTATCGTTTATTAAATTGTCAACTTAATTTAGCACTAATGGAAAGCTTCGTTACGACATATTCTTAATAATACGGTTTTTGATGAACTCGCTAAACTACCATCTAAGTTACTAAAACTTATTTTGAGTGACAAACTTTACTAATTAATAACGATAATTTATTATTATTTTGCAGTTCATACAATTTAAACTAATGATTTCAACTCTTAAAAAAGATCGGTGATCAAGTGAAATGTCGCCAGTAAACTGAATTTGTCGTCTAAGTTGTGCAATACCATTGATATCGTTATTGAACCTCGTTGTAAATATCACACACACACATACCCTGACGAACAGTTTTTTTTTGTTTTTTTTACATTTTCCTCAACAATGTCAAGTGAAAAACAAACATATATTAATGTTATTAGCAATAACAAACGGACGATTGTATTTAAATGTCCCGTATATTTATGCCTTCTTTACTTAGGCAAAGTGAGCGTAATTCTTAAAAATCAACTATCAGGTAAAACTTTAATTTCCCATACGAAAGACTACATTTCGAACCCACTTCCTTTATAGATCATCTATGTTCGATAGTTGCAAAGCTACAATACTGTGGAAAAAACAAACGCCATTTAATTGTAAATATCCATGAACACAAGGGGATTTCTTTAAGAACCGGTCAACTTCTATAAACTCCCCACCTCTACTACCCACATATATATAGCCAAACTACAGGAAATAAAATATTCTCAAGTGACTTTAAAGTTTTAGCTACAGGCTACACAGTCTTGAAATTTCTCCTTGTTAAATAATAAGCCAACTTCTGTTTAGTTAAGCTTGATTAAATTCTTTCTCACTAGGTATATATATAGATATTTTCATTAATTTATTTATTGTGTGAAAATATTTAATACACTTTATTCTTCACTCTTGTGGGTGTATTATTTATTATTAGACTGCGTTTTTGCCTCATAATTATATCACATTTCTCCTCTGTAACGGCACACACATGGTCTCCCTTCCCATCCAATGGCGATACTTGAAAGTATATATGAAGTACATATTGTTACGTCTCCGTTTTTTAATTAACTGATTTTCCGTAACTTCGTA